ACTCTCTTTCCTATTTCATTCACTGAACTTTCAATTTTTTTTCAATTTGCTCATTGAAATTTATATATTAAATTTTTTATCACTCAACCGTTTTCTCCTTAACTATGTTATGATGTGGCATTTTTTTATTATTTTTAATCAATTACTTAATATTTTATTAATATTATTTAAAAATTTTATTATCCACCTCCATCCAATTCATCTCCGTTTTAAACTTCATCCCTAACCTCAAACCACTATAAACTCCATCAAAATCATAGTACACCCACAAACCCTCACCCATGTCTTATTTTAAGAGAAACCAAAAACTGTATCTGATGAAAATTTTCCCTTTTTCTATTGGTTTTCTATTAACAATTTCTCTCCATTCTTTCATCACATTTGAGTTTATTGAATCTAAAGTTTGGGAAGAAAATGGTGGGTGAGGCCATTGTGAACATATCATCATATACGTAATTAGGTATGACGGCAACAACAGTTGCATTGGGTCATTTTTCTTCTTCTTCTTCTTCTTCTTCTTCTTCTTCTTCTTCTTCTTCTATCTCTATCTCATATGCATAATTGGTTTCATTCTTGATTTGGCGACTTTCTTTGCTTTAGAAAGTAGGACTTGAACAAAGCTTGAATAAGAACCCAAATTTGGAGCTCTAACTTAAATAATTTCATAAGACCTTATGTTTCCCATTGGTTTTTTTTTTTTTTGTGGGTTCCTCTCTATTTCATAATGAAAGACTAGCCAAAGCATATTTCGAGCCCTAACGGGATAAGATTTTCTTTGAAGTTCAAAATCCACGAGAATCCCTCGTTCTATGAAGTAGCGGCGGCAATTAGAGGCTTATAGGAAGAAAATAAAGTAACATATAAGAAATTAGTAAGCTTTAGAGAACATAGTAGGAATGTAGTGAATCAGTGGGACTGTGGTGATTGTAGTGGCGACGCTAATGCCGGAGGAGGTGGTGGCTTCACGCTATAATTTCTATTTTCCCATATTATTTTATTATTTTATTTTTTGACGTGGATTTTAATAATTTAATAAATCATTTAATTGAGCCACGTCATAATGCCATTACAAAATTAACGGCAGAGTGACTAAAAAACTAATTTATAAAGTTCATTGAGCAAATTGAAAAAATTGAAAGTTCAGTGAGTGAAATAGGAGAGAGAGTAAAGTTCAGTGATTAAATATGTAATTTACCCTATGAATGAACGAGTAAAAGGTGTTACATGACCGTGACCATTAAAATTGAGTGAATTACACTCATGATCATCCAATTTTCAGGTTGTTTTCACTTTAGTCACTAAATAAAAAAAATTTCATTTCAGTCACCATCATTAAATAAAATAAATATCATCTAAAAATTTGACAACATATACCTACGTCCTATTTTACAAAATAAGGTGAAATGAATTGTTAAGACTAAGATTCAAACCAATAACTTTGACCATAACTACTACTCTATATTAAGAATTATGTTATATAAAATAAAGTAATAATTAAATTAAAATGTGTTTCAATAATTAATTTTTATCTCTTTTTTATAATCACTCATGTTCAATCTATTAATCGATTAATTCAACCCTTTCAATCTAGTTTAATTCATTTATAAACGCTGGATTTGATTCTCAATTTCTATTTTACTTTATCATCAATTTATTGGTATCTTGTTTTATTATTACTTTATTGGATGACATTTACTTATTATCAAAAGTAACATATTGCCTTTGAGGAGATAACCTTTGACATAAGAAGAAGGCCATCATTTACGTGTCCGTAAGTAAAAAAAAGCGTAGTAAAATTGAAAATGTTTAATACAAAAATAAGTATTTAAACTATGTTTTAAAAAATGTTTTAGTGTCTAAAGAATTTTTTGTTAAAAATGGATGTCTAAAGTTTTTTTCGATTATCATTTTAGGTGCTCAGACATTAACTACCGTTAAAAAACCATGTTAAGTAAAACATATCACGTTATGATAATTTTGAGAATTTATTTTAAAAAATATATTTTTTATTAAAAAAACCCACGTGGTTCCCCTCCCCTGTAACAAACTGCCACAGTCAAAAGTCAATCGTCAATGCTAAAACTTTGGATTTAAAACCAAAATTCCTTAATTATACCTCCAACAATTTCCACAATAATCATTCAATTTATCAGAATCCTCAATAAAAAAATAAAAACCGTAAAAATGAAATCTTTCATTTACATCATTTTTTGTGTTCAATTGGTTGTAAAAGTATGAGGATTTTGGTCGGGGTAGTTGGTCAGTCACGCATCGTTAGGTGTTCGTATAACATCCCAATCACCGGGTCAGTGATCAAAATGTAAGAACTCAAAATTTAGTGATTTAATTAGAATAATTTGAGAATTCAAGGATTTATTGTGGAAATTTCTGGTCAGAACTTGATATTAAATTTGGATTAGTAGAAGGGAAATATGGTCTTTTCACCTGAAAGATTTTTATCTCCTCTCTTTTAAGGATTTAACACGTGTAATAGAAGGGGAAAAGTTTGGAAACATTTCTCTATTCTTTCTCCTTGCCCGTGGAAGCCATTGCAAAAGTAAGTTCTATGGTTTGTGTTGGTTCCTTTAATTTTTGGTTTGGTATTGAAAGTTTGGGTTTTATATAAGCTTAAGGAAAGCTTGGATAGGATTAAAACAACAAGAGGAGTAAATTAGAAATGAATTTGTAAAATGGGTTTTGAAATGAATTGTTGATATGGTGTAGTTTCTAGAGTTTTAGTGATGAATTTGACTTGTCATTAAGCAAACTAAAGAGTTAGGAGGATTAGAAGTGATCAATAGCATGTTTGAAATATTGGTATGATTTTGAGATTCAAGTGTTTAGACAAGATTTTGGATAATTAAGAGTAGTAAATGAGGTCAAGTTGGTTTGGATATATAAGGGTGAGTTTAAAGGCATAACGAGGGATGATATAAGAGATTTAGGAAGATTTTGGGTGGATTTTCGAAGTGAAAATAGCCATTATGGGCATCGATTAGCGGTACTGTTAGAACAATACCGATACTTCAAGGGTTAAATATGTGATTTGTTAAAGGTAGTATCGATACAGTTTGAAGAAGGTATAGATACTGAACAGGTAATATCGATACCATTTGAAGGAGGTATCGATACTGAGCTGGTATTATCGATACCATGGGTATGGTATCGATACCATTTTCAAGATGCAATTACATAATGCCATTAATGGTATCGATACCTTAAGGAGGTATCGATACCCTTGAAGGGAAGTACCGGTACTGTAGTGTTAGTACCGATACTTCTAGGCATGAAATGAAAATTGAGTGCTTCTTGCATTACAAGTTATTATAATTGAATATAAGTGATTCAAAGAACGATATTGATTTTCGATTTGTTTTGTGTAGTTGTTGAACATAAGCAACTTCCGGTCATCTCAATATTATAAGTACCGATCCAAAAGTGTTAAAGATTTCGCTTAGGACTTCAGTGAGGCAAAGGTGAGTGCTATTTACGTAAAGTATTGATGTTTGAAGGAAAGCTTGTGATGAGCCAACGTAAAATGTTTTAAATAAATTGAAAAATGATATGATTATATGTAAAATATTTTCTATATGATTATGTTTTATACAAGTAAATGAATACATTGAATAATGATATGTAATGTGAAATAATTATGTAATTCACTATGAACATATGATATATGTGATTAAATAGAAATAATGAGTAATGCTTTGTGAAACAAGATACCACGAACAAATGTTTGAATGTGAATAAATAATAACATTTGATAACGCTATGTGATAAAGATGTATGTGAAGGATTATATGAATATGTGTTAAGTGGATATGTTCTATGGAACATAAATGATAAGTGAAAATGTGAACTTTGAACAAATGAATGTGAAAAGACTATGTGAGAGTAACTATATGAATAATAAACACTTCGAATAATGATTGAACATAATTATGTGATTAATAACCCAAAGTATATGTATGAGGATTAGAGGTATAATTGGCATGCCAAGAGTCGAGGGTTTTATGTGGTCCTCCGGGACAATTATGTGGTCCTTCGGGACAAATATGTGACACTTCGGTGCAAACCTATGTGGTCATTCGGGACAATTATGTGGCACTTCAGTGCAAATTACGAGTTGTAGTGACATCATTAGTGCACAACCTCAATGTACTCAAATACCTAAAATTCTCAGTATTATACATTGGGCTAATTAAACAAATGGATATGAAATGAAAAATATATCAGTCCTATGTAGTTTTTATGAAATTAAAAGTCTATATAAGTATGATTTGAAGATATATCCAAGAATACAATAAGTATAAACTCTTCGGTGATTAATAAAAGAGGTTATAAGTTATTATACTGGTGATATTTTGTTTATAAATGTAGACAAATGTTTTATTGTTTAATAGTACTCCTAATGTCTCACTAAGTCATCGACTTAGCGTGTGAATGTTTTCACACGTAGGTTCAAAGTTATGCAAGGAGTAATACATGTAAGGGGGGGAGGACAACATATATTTGAAGATTAACAGATCAGAGAGATTTTAAATTGTACGTGATTGTGTATGGTAAATGTTGTTGGCATGTACTATGATTTATTTTGTTTTCATTATCCAATTTAAATCAGATATTTTTAAGAGTCAAAGTGTTTTAAAAGTCAAATGTGACGCCTCAGATTCGTATCCGGGTCAGATATGGGTTATGGGTGTTATAGTTTGACTGATTGACGGCGTTGTGGTGATCAACGGTGACAAATGGATTAAAATTAAAGTTTTAAAATTTTTGAGTTTTTTAGGATTTGAATTCTTTTTAAAAAATTATATTTTTAATTTTAAATAAATTTTTTAAAATTATACATATCATTTAACAGATTTTTTAACAATAGTTAATGTTTAAACACATGATAACGGATAAATTTTTAGACGTATATTTTTAAGTAAAAAATGTTTAAGCACTGAAACATTTGTGGAGTAATAATTTGGGGCACTTAATTTTGTATCAAGGCAATTGAAAATTATCAACCCCTCTCTTCGAACTCCCGAATAAAAGCGATTCTCCAATAAAGCCGGTGATGATGGTATTCTTGTTCTAAAGCCGTCTTGTACCAGGACGGCGAGCTTACCATTACGAACTCCAAAAAGAAAAACATACACCGTTTTTTCTTCTTTTGGGCAGAGAGACTGACAGATGATTAGGGCAATAAAAGCAGCAGTCTTTGATTCACAGAGCAGCAATCTTTTCCAAAGGGCTTCTTTCTTCCATTCCACTCCCGTCCTTGAACATAAAAGACGCAATAATTGGCAATTTGTAAGCATTCTTTCCCTTTTATTGTTGATTATCAAACTAGATTTTTCCACTTTTGGATATGCTTCCTTCAATGGGGTTTGTTTTTGTGAAAATTCGCAGTCACTTTTTTTTATATATAATTTATGGTCTATCAGATTGATAATTTGGGTTAAGAGAACGTGCCTGAAATTAAAATTTTTATGTTTTTGCTCCCCTTATTTTTTTTTTATTTGCTAATGTTAAAAATGTGGCCTATTTGCTACCTGGGGTTCAATGTGATATGTAGATGAATATATTGGGGTCTTGGTTGTATCTATGATTTGTTTCAGCTATGGATGGAAACTTGGAATGGTAAAGAGTGTTTATATATGTGTGTGTGTATATATATATTTCTTGAAAAGTAGAGGAAACCTGTGAATATGGTTGGTTCTATATTCAGGAGTGTTTTTTTTTTAATTTATGATTATTAAGTGCAATAAATGGATTTTTCATTTAGTAAAAATGTGAAATTCTGAATTTGGCATTATATATACAATTTCTTAAGCTATATTTCTGGCTTAATTAAATGTATGAAAACTCTCTAGAAAATACCTAACAGCCATTGTTGTTTTTTTTAATTTGTATTTTTTGTAGTGGAAGCCAATTGTAATTCAAGACATGAGCTACTGTTTTTAATAAAAGAAAAGTACTTTTTTCCTAAGATATTATACTGGATTAAGCTATCGAAAGAAATGGATTTTTACTTTAGAGTGCTTGGATGATGAATTCTTTTGTTGAATACTTGTAGACGCATGGAAATAATCATTTAGATAAAGCGTCCATCGTTGAGTAGATAGCAGATTGCAAGAATTTTCTAGGATGATTGGGTTCAGGTTTCACCTTTTAAGTTCTGTACTCGTAGTCTTAGGTATGCTTTTATGTTATAAGCATTAGTCTCACTCTTTTCTAAGCTGGAACAGTGCCCTTGGAGACTAATTCTGCTATCCAATTCTTGTATTCCATTAGGAATATTTTTTTTTGATTACTTATTCCAAACATAGACAGAATTCTTGTGAAATTCGTTGTATTGGTTGTTATTCTTATCATTACTTGCAATACTTAAAAGTTTTCTTTTATTTATTTTTCAGAAGTTTGAATGATATTCATACAATACTTGTAATACTTTTGTTTGCAAGGTAAGAGGCATGGAAAGATGCGTGCAAAACAAGAACTATTGCGCAACTTTGGTGCTTATGCGGATGACTTTTTTAAGGTTTATATTCATATCAATTACTTGATTATCTAGTTTATGCCAAAATTCAAATAAAACCGTGGGTTCAAATGTTGCATTATGGAGGACTTGTGTTGCTGTAGCCGATGCCCTTATGTTAGTAGCCCGAGCCTGTCGTACTCTTGTGCCCTTCTATTCCTGAAGGGAGCTGTCCTACATTTTGCGAATTCTGTGCATGCATATTGGTGCAACTCCTGCTGGTCTCATATAATGTGCAGGATGAACACACACTGCTTTGACCTTCACTACCTCATACATGTCAAGTAGAATTGATTCCAAATTTAGTCATGCTTACTTTCAAAATTACTACTACTGAATGTAGTCAAGACCCATACCTTGAACTTGCCACTTAGCATGTTTTACTGTGTTTAGCGTTTATTGCTACTTATCCACCTATGAGTATTATCGATGGCTTCGAATGAGTGAGCAATTACGAAAAAGGGAATTACTAAAACTAAAGTCTGGCATGTTGAATAAATATTTAGTTGATTTTTTATGGAATCAGTAAAATATGGTTTCTGTCCCTTTTCACCATAAATCTGCATAACGATTCTGGTTAAGCTTTGTAGTACAGATAGAGGTTGGGCTTTTTAAATTTTTCATAGAATGTTTAATTCTAAATGCAAAAGCTGAAAAAAATGAATTTTTCAGTGCTTTAGGTCGTAATAATAATGCATATTGCAGAAGCTTTTCTTTGAAAACTAGCAATCTTTGTACATTTAGCTTATTAGTATATTGTTTCGTAAAAAAAAAGTTGCCAAATATTATTTTGAATCATAAGGTTCCATTCGCGCTTTTGTAATTTTGTTTCAGAGCTGGAAAGATGAGTTTCATGAAGACAATCCATCATCAAGTAGAGGTCCTTCATGGGCCAACAAACAACGCACTAAGAGATCCAAAAGGGATCGGCCTGGCAATAAAGGATTTTATTACAGTGGTAGAAGTAAGGATTTAATCTCTTAAAACCTTTTTTCATACCTATAAATATATTGCACGTTTATATCACATTTTCTACATTTAAAGAAGCCTCTAGATTGTATTTTGTTCTTATTTTTCCAGGGAATGGTCTTTCGGAACCTTAGTGGTTGGTTTAGCCCTGGATTTGCTGTAAAAATCGTCATTCTGTGTTTGGATGTGATGCTTATTGCTCCATTTTAGGCATCTCATAATCATTCAATTAGTTCAAAACAGAATATGCCCTTACTCTGAAATTTCTTGAAAATTCACATAGCATATTGCATCTACTAGCATGTTGTTCTCCTGGATCCGTGCCAGAAATTTTCTGGTTTTGGTTTCTTGATCAGGACCTTTTGAGTTTTGTGAAGACAATGATGATGACATCGAGAACATATTTAGGTCTGCCTTTGGTGGAAGCCGGTTCTTTTATTGGTCCTTCGTTAATGAGGAGTACCCTCAATGGAGGAGATCTAGATACTCGAATAACTATGGGAGATCTTGGAGCTGGAGTTATCGATTTGATGAGGATTCTGACTCCTCAACAGAATGTGGTAATGATGAGGGTTCAGACCAAGATACAATTGCTGATAGGCAGGCCCTTGGACTAAGTGCTTCTGGTCCTCTAACACTTGAAGCCGTTAAAACTGCGTTAGTTCTTTCATTGTGTTCCTCAAAAACCCTTGCATATTTATTTTCGTTTTTTTAGGTTATTTCTTTCGGGGTTACATAGAGGGACATCTTATATTGTTTCCGTTGTTAAAACTACCGTGGCAGGTTTCTAAAATTATTTCTTTATAGTCTGATTATTTCCGTTCTCTTATTTTGTTAGATATCGAGCCTGTGCATTGAAATGGCATCCAGATCGTCATCATGGCTCTTCCAAGGTATGCATTCCCCATTCATCAGTGTACTTTGTTGTTGTTTTTTTTTTTTGGCTTAAAACAAAGAACTTTGATTATTTTATGCAAGATTCAAGATCATTCTCTTTATAAAGAAAAAACTTGCTGACACTTTCATATCTAAATTTTTTTTAAAAATAGGTGTTAGTCATATACCGAGAACATTTTACAGCAGTTAACCCACTTATTTAACCAAACATGTGAGGGTTTTTCTTGGCTACATTCAATAAACAGACTGGCTATTATGTTACCTGGAGTATTCATTTTTTCGTATGGTATACATGTTTAACTTACAATCGGACATAGTTATGGGTGATCATCCAGATATATAGAACTTCGAAAAAGGAAAACAGAACATAGCAAACCGGTAAATAATTGCTTGTCACCTTCGAACTGTTACGTACTTTTGATCATCGAAATCGTTGATATTTCCATTGCTATTTAACTTCTTTGGTTCAGTAAACTGTTGGTTGAATGTTGTTTGATGATTAGGCTGTTGCGGAGGAGAAATTCAAGCTTTGTAACACAGCATATAAGTCTTTATGTGATAAGTTGGCATTGAACTAAGGAATGTTTTGAAGCATGAGCTACATATTTCTTAAAGCTAATGCATTGTTTGGAGTTCCGAATGTGTAATGTTTAAGACAGTGGAGTTGAGTTTTTGTAGTTTAGATTCATTAGATAATAACAGTTATGTACCCAGCTGCGGCATGAGGATGGTTCAACATTTTGAATAGTTTAAATTATGACTTTTAGCCTCTTACCATGACTTTAATTTGGCATTTTTTGCCATTTTACTCTTTTTACTAATAGGAATTAGTACAAATTATGAATCTATCCGTATTATTGTAACACCCTAAACTTGATTGGGCCTAAAGTACCACATTGGGCTATCGAGGCAACCCTTGATTTTTGAAAACATATTCATTTTCTTTTCAAATATATTGAATGATATCATAATTAAAGCATAAATAATGTTATAAAACACATTTTCAAAATTGGAGCTATGTGACAATTTAAAATTAAAATAATACAACCTTTGTGTTTAAATAATTGAATACATGAGTAAGGTACTATGAATACATATGCCCACTAAGCTACGGTACAATACTCTGAAGGAGATGCTGGAAGTCTTGTTACGACGGTGCTCCAAGAACTGCTCATGCTACTAAATTGCCAACAAGAAACATCCGAAGGCTGAATGTCATACTAACTCTGTGGTGCATTATCTAAATGCAAATACTGACTCTGCGTAACTCATGCACTAGCTGTGGCAAGCATCGTGGTGCGGCTAAGGAGCTGCATCTCGGAGCTTACACACCTCTCTATCCTGCTGAACTACCCTCGGGTACGTGAGGTGGGATTCAGAGCTGTATCGGAAACATACACTCTGCCAACTTACTCTGTCGAGTCTTGGGGCATTTGCGCCCAGCTGGCAAAAGAAGTGCCTTGGCACTGACAAGTATATACCTGGACATACTGATAACAAGACAATCGCCCTACTGCTAAAGTAACTCGGGTGTCCTGGCAGTTTCCCGAGTATCACACAAAGGCTAGTTTTATGACATTCTATGTAATACCCCAAATATCAGGTCAGAGACTATATTGAAAAGATTTGAAATTTGAAGATTTATTTGAATAAATGGTAGAAGATGAGGAAATGATTTGGAATAGTGTTTTGAACTAAATTGTATCAATAGATGAGTTAATAGGGCAAATTGGTCTTTTAAGAGGGAAAATTGAATTTAAAAATATTAGGGATTTTAAATAGGAGAAAAGAGGAAAGTAAAATATTTCTTTCTACTCTTCTTCTCCTTCATGTTGGCATTTCTCTCCTCTCTAGCATAAGGTAAACTTCTCTTAGCTAGTTCTTTGTTTAAATTATGGGTTGCTTTGGTAATATTAGGTGTTATGTAAGCTTAAGAAAGGATTATATGAGATTAAAACTATGAAATGGAGGAAATATTAGAGATTTAAGAAAATGGGTTTTTAAGTGATATGTTGATATATGAGTGTTTATTGATGTTTATTGGTAGAATTGACTTGTCAAAGTAGTAAATAAGAGATTAGAAGCATTGGATGAGTTTAAAAACAAGTTTGAAATTTTGGTGTGATTTTTAGAATCCAATGATCTTGAGGGGTACTAGGTGTTTTAAGTATAAAAATGAAGAAATGTTAGTATGGATAGTTAAAGAAAAGTTTGATAGTATGATATGGGGTAAACATACCGAAATTTGACCCCATTTATATAATAATCAGGTTGAAAACTGGAAAATCTAGGCAAGGGTATCAATATTGATAGAACAATACCGATACTATGCTAAAATGGGATAAATTAGCTTAGATGAATCAGTATAAATACCGGCGAGGTAGTGGCCACATCGAATCTAAAATTGGTATCGATACCGGAAGGGGGTATCAGTACCATAGTATGGTAGTATCGATACCAAGGTAAAGGTATCAATACCAAGTAACATCGAACCTAAAATTGGTATCAATACCGAAAGGGGGTATTGGTACCATAGTATAGAAGTATCGGTACCAGTGTAGTAGTATCGATACTATTGAGCTTAGAACGACCAATTAGGTTGAAATTGTTATAGAAATTGAGATAATGATATTTTGAATTTTTTTAAAGTACAAGGATAAGGAGTATACTAACATTTGAGTATGGTACATGTTTTAATGGATGCTTGAGTAGATCGGAACCAAGCTCCGGAGACAAACAAAACTAAGGGTAAAGGCAAAATATCGGAGTAATCAACCTTACGTTTTGGGATAGATAGCAAGGAAAGTCAGGTGAGTAGATTTAATTATGTACATATATGTTACGGTAGGCCTAACTATATGATTTATTAATGTAAGTATGGTGATTACCAAATGGCACTAAGTGTGCAAAAATGTTAAGAAATTCATACTAAGTGTATGAATTTCCGTATTGAGCACTTTGTGTGCAAAATGTTAAGAAATTCATACTAAGTGTATGAATTTCCGTATTGGGTACCTTAGGTGCAAAAAGGTGAATTGTCGTAATTGTAGTGGATGAGTATTCCATGTAAATTATAGTAAAATCGTGGTATTATTGCACTGGCATTATGGGTATAAATCATAGAATGTATAATGATTGAAAAGGTTAATTGATATTATGAAAGATTATTATAGTAGAGACTACTCTAAAATAAAAGATTAAGAGGCCTAATTGTGCAATTGACAGAAATGTGTCATTTATGCCAGTTAGATGAAAGGCTAAGTGCCTTTGTGGCCTAACTGTGCATTTGACATAAAAGTGTCATTTATGCCAGTTAGATGAAAGGCTATGTGCCTTTGAGGCCTAAATGTGCATTTGACATAAAAGTGTCATTTATGCCAGTTAGATGAAAGGCTAAGTGCCTTTGAGGCCTAACTGTTCAATTGGAAGAAAGGTGTCAATCATGCCAGTGAGATGAACAGTTAAATGCCATTGAGTAAAAGAATAATGGCCTAATTGTGCAATTGACAGAAAGGTTTTAATCATGTCAGTTAGATGAACGGTTAAATACGTTGATTAAAAGAAAATTGGTCTAACTGTGCAATTGGAAGAAATGTGTCAATCATGACAATTAGATGAACAATTAAATATTGTTGAGTAAAAGAATAATGGCCTAACTGTGCAATTGGCAGAGATGTGTCAATCATGCAAGTTAGATGAACGGTTAAATACCGTTGAGTAAAAGAATAATGGCCTAACTGTGCAATTGACAAAAAGGTGTCAATCATGCTAGTTAGATGAACGATTAAATACCGTTGAGTAAAAGAATAATGGCCTAACTGTGCAATTGGTAGAAATGTGTCAATCATTCCAGTTAGATGAACGGTTAAATACCATTGAGTAAACGAATAATGGCCTAACTATGCAATTGGCAGAAATGTGTTAATCATGCCAGTTAGTTGAACGATTAAATATTGTTGAGTAAAAGAATAAAGGGTCAAATACTGTTGAGTAAAAGAATAATGGACTACTGTGCATTTGACAGAAAAATGTCTAATATGCATGTTAAGTGAAAAACTAAATACCTTTGGGTAAAAGAATAAATGAATTTATAATGTAATGTGATATGAATGGTATATAAGTGATATGAATGGATGATATATATATATATAATGTACAACAATGCATAACTAGTATGAAAGGATGTTATAAAGGATAACGTAAACAAAATATAATGGGCATGAAAGGATACCTAAATGAAAATACAAAATAATGTATTAACAATATTTAAGGTGCCACCATAATGATTATAAAAGATACATGATCAATTAGCACATTGGTGCAATACATGTATAGTATTTTTACATTTAATGTACACATGGAAAATAAAGAATAAAGAGGGAAAATATACAGAAGGATATGTGATGGGCATAATATGAATAATTTCCATGATGGTATGAAAGAATTATGGTTTAATTGAGAAGGGCTTAACGGGTCCTTATAAATGATTAAATTAAATTCTTCATTTAACATTCATAAGACACTATCGTATAACTGTAATATCCATGTAGTATTATGTCTCGCTAAGTGAATACTTAACGTTTGTTTATTTCACGCGTAGGTAAAGGAAAAGATTAGTTGCGTAAGGAGTGTAGCAGTAACATCAATGTTCATCAATTAAAGGATGACTCGTCAGTAACATTATGACAATCTTATTTATTTTGAGAAGTTAGTTGGCATGTAATTAAACTATAATAAATATTTTGTAATGTACTTAAGTGATAGTTTTAGTATGTTGCCTTTATAAATACCATATTTTGGTAGTTGATCAAATCGAAACATATTTTTACGGGTTTTCAAATGACAATAAGTTTTATAAAGTGATGTGACCTCTATATCTCGTGTTCGGAAATGTATATGGGATATGGGTGTTACATTTATTGGTATAAGAGCTACATGTTTAGCCGATTCTTGGCTGAAACTAGTTTCATTTGAAATAAGAAAAAAGGATTACATGCCACTAAGATTGTAAAGGTTACTGATATGGTGTCATTAAAGTGTAATTGATGACACTCCTTACTAACTGAAATGTTATTACTATGTATGTTCTAATAGATGTCAGAATCTTCTAACCCTCATAGAGTGGGAGAACAAGAAATTAGAGAAGTAATTGATAGCGAAAGTTACGAGGCTAATAGTGATCATTCGATTCCATCTGAAAATGTTAGTGCGCCTGCACATCAAGGGATGTCGGTACCAGAGTATGGAGCTTTTATGTAAGCTCTCAACGCTATGTTGACTCGTTTTCAACCTCCTCCACCTTCCCTTGCTCCTCCAACACCGATAATGTTGATCCCAAAAGTGCTGAAGAGCTTGGGAGCTTCTGTGTTTCGGGGAGAATAGGGTGAAGGTCCTATGGAGGCCGACTTATGGTTAAATGATGTTATAATAATGCTAGAAAATCTTCACTGTTCCAATCTGGAAAAGTTAAGAGGAGCTGTATCTTTACTTAGAGGATCAACTCGAGTTTGGTGGTCAAATACTACAATGTATGCACTACCAGAAAGTGACCTGACAATTCTTCCTAGAAGAATTTAAGAACAAGTATGTGGGTGAACAGTTTAAATGGGCAATGATGTTAAATTTCCTAAATTTGAAACAAGGTGATCGAGCAGTAC